AGCGTGGGCCTTGATTTTATGCTTATTGTTTATACCATTCGTTATTACGACTCTGGCACTGCTTTCTGGGTACGTGAAACAGGTGATATACCTTATTCCTGACCATTCAGTGCAGTATGTTTAGGGCTGTGTCCGAAATCGTTCTCTATACCCTCATTCACTACTCCCTATGTTAGTCTACAAATATACGTATACACCACTTTAAGGAGCGACTAAAAACAAGCGACAAATTCAGATACTGAATGCACCATAAAATGGCTGCCGTTTTTGACACTTAGCTAACTAGCAACTTCTAATCTTAAAATTTAACTAGCTTGTAAAAACCTTAATTAAACCCCTCCCAATCAATTAAAAAGGTACTTAAGGTACGGTCACACTTTCCTATGTTTGGAGAGTTAATAATAATCCATATGATCAGGATTTTTACATGAGGGTAAAAGATTTCTCCATGCAGATTTCGCAGTAGTTCACCCGAATTCGCCACAACGATCAACTGTGACGAACTTCTGTGTGAACTTCATACATCACTACACTATTGACAATATGCCTGTGAAATTTCGCGATTGTCTCACACTTTACACCTGTACTGTGGATGCCACTGTTCGCTGTAATCCTCACAGAGCATTATGGGTCTTCTCCAGCCTTTTAGTGTATATCAGGTGAACACATATGCATTATGGGATTGAATACATCCACTATGGCACCATTACAAATGGCTGTCCCTTTAAATAGTGCAATATTATATAAGGGTATAATGGGTGATTTCAGGCACAGCTTAGGTTTAGGGTTAGGTGTGAGCTTTAGAGATACAGACCAATCACGTAGCACCCTCAAGAATTTGGCACAAATCCGGTGCTACTTTCATGTCTCTCTTATCACACCATGGACTCATTCGCTCATATTTCAAACAAATGTAACTGCCATCATATCAGTTGTTGTGAAAATGAGTATTGTTGCAGCGTCTTTCTTGATACTAGGCCGATTGTTTTATATGTTGTAATGGTAAAATGATTTCTGTCATGACAATTCTCTGAGGGATTGGCATGGTAATGTACATGACAACGTTAATGTGTTTGGTCTTGGCGGAATAGATCTACTATGCTGCTACTGCTGCGGTAGAGCAAATACTGAGACTTGCTACTGCCAAAACATCCACAACATGCTGCTGTGAGCATGTAAGAAATACTGCTGCTGCACATATACATGAAATAACCCCCATATGACATACATGAATCACCCCGTAGCAGATCTATACAGGTGGAGCTGGGGAAGGTGGAGGGTTTCTGAAGCACGCTGTAACTGCTACAGCAAGCACTAGTCATATATTTGAATGTTGAGCATTATGTCATTATGTCACATCGTGTCTACACCAGACGCGGCAGTTGTCGTGTCGCGCCGTGCTGTGCTGCAACAGCTAAAGTCTGTCTACACTGGACACGACAAAGCGACCGTTGAAAATCATTTAAAATTTGTGTCAATACATCATAAATAGAACGCGGCAGCAGTTTACTGTCGGGGATTTGTCGTGTGGTGTCGTGCCGCATCTAGTGTAGACAGCATCACTGATTATAATGAGTTCTATAGTATTTTGTCGCGCCGCTCGTGTCCAGTGTAGACACGGTGTCAGATTGAGTTAGACCTATAGGACTGCGCCATCTAGAGTTTCATGCCAGAATTTTGTATAAAATAATATGTGACAAACTGACCATCCACACAGGATAATTCCTCGTCTGCGGCCCAAGACGCTGGGATAATATCCAGCATCCTTGCAATCCTACAAAGGATAAGCAGTTTGGAGAATAATGGATGGATTGTACAATAATTAAAACTTAAATCAACATTTTATGTCCAGGTATTTACACTTCATGGCTCTGATCACCTGGTCAAGACTTACTTTAAGAAAATAATTACTACACTGTACATTATCTTTTACTTATTTGCACTATATTTTGGATTTAAGTGTACCTTATCACCATTATTTCTGTATGAAATTTCCAATAAATGAAGTACATCTCATTTAAGATCATAACACACCGTTTATAAGACAGAAACTCAAAAACTCTGAAATTCAAAAATAGCAAATATGACCTTCAACCGCTAGTATGGGCAAATTTCACTGGCTTTCTGTCAATCCAAACAGTCTTTCATTATTTGGAGGGTGGATTTCAAATCCTGAGGCTTTCACTTTGTGATATTTTCACTCTGTTCCCAGATATACAGATCCTTTGGGGATCCACATTGGTCAGTTCAGTCAAACACTTGTGCCCTGGGTTTCGCCCAGAGAGCTTTCTTATACTAAGGTCAACAGACTGTCAGAAAGAACAAAACCTATAACATTCCCATACAATGGGGCTTCCACTGGACAGACCATCAATGTCTCAGCTTTGTCTTGTCACTGCAGGCTACGACCGCCACTCCAGCTGAGAGCAACGGCAATGACCTGACAGCCAATAAACATTTTCGCTAGTTTCCTCCGCCTCACACGCAGAGGCCAGTAAAAATCGACAATGCCAAGGTGACACATTAAGCCCCATAAAAATATTTGTAGGCTCTGTGTGATTTTTTACGAGCATTTTGTCGAGTGTTTACCGGCCTCATCTGAGATACTACATCAAATACATAGTACACTAAATCAAACGCGACTTTCGTCACCTTTCAGATAAAAGACACTGAGAGGGTTGTAATCTGTTCGGTTCAAAAAGGACACGAGAAGGTTATCAGTCAGTGCAGTACCACCTCAAGCATTCGAGGAAAAGAAATATGGCAAAAATCAGAATTTCGACCAAGATTGTGAAAAAGCAGAGAAGGGTGGGTTAAAAGGCGCACAGGCAGGTATGAAGGTTAGTGATTGAGGTTAGCAACTATGACAGGCCTATTAGCTCTAACATCTCCACCTGCTGACACATCACTGCCTAGCAGCAATGAGCGAATTAGATTTAACATCACATCCAGCCGTCACACATCTCCTGTCCCCCTCAACCCAAACCAGAATCGCGAAAAGCACAGGGTTTCTTTCTCTCGTGTGCAATAAAAGCTGATTAGAGTTGAAACAGTTGACCGGTCCTATGCTCCTACACAGCTGCTGGATTAGAGGCTGAGCCCATCATCTGTGAAATGAAATTTCAGATGGTCCAACAGGGACAGTCTGGGGTGCAGACTGTATGCATGCACGTGTTCGAGGGTAGAAAGGGGCACAAGACACAATATGCAAGGTCACACATCACAGCTAAAAGGTTCATGTGAAGAGGATGATAAACATTGATCAGTCATGTGGTAACAGGACACACTCTTCATTGAAAGGTATGAAGCCCAGTCGTTAGTAGCGATAGACATGGGTTCGAATCAATCGTGTCTCACAAAATATCACACAAATATGAAGATTCATCAGTTTGCTGAGTTTAGAGCATCAGGCAATGGAGACAGAAGTAGATTTACATTTAGAACAAAAAAAAAACAAAAATCAGAAAAAGACAGAAAAATCAGTCCCTCAAATAAAAATCGACCAATTATACCATTCTAAATACAAAAACTTAACCTATGATATTCCGTAAAATGCATATTTTCTTGTCACTGTTATGCATGCATTGCACACAATTTCAACTTGTGTGTAGTTGTATACAGTCTGTTTTCATGTATAATATCTTGACAGCTGGTGAACAAATTCCTTTGGTGGGAGTGGTATTCTTTTATTTTAGAACTATAAATGAACTATTAGATTACGATCTAAAATTAAAACGTCAAGATATTCCTAACAGGTTTTTTATAGAAGTGTCTGTAGATGACGTCATACTTTTTTAATAGCTAGAAGCAATTCAGTAGAGACCAGTCAAACTGTTACCATGGAAATGAAAATAGTCAGGCTCCCTACCAGTTCCCCTCCTTCACAAAAATCTCGTTACTGTCTCATCATCCAGTACAGTTTTATCATTGGTTGAATATAAATTGGACCGAATAAAATATTTCAATACAGGCATTTCTGTCAAATATAATTTAGACATTTAACCTGTGAGGGAATAAAATAAATAAAGTAGCCCATTTTCATAAGAAAAACAGCAAATTTGGCAACCCTGGTCAGGTGTTCAAAGCAGCTCTTATTATATTTTGCAATGTACCACCAAATAGAAAAACTTAATTTGTCTCATTGATTAATATCATTTTTTCTTTTCTCCTTTCAAGTGACAAGTATCAAGTATTATATGCAGTTTGTGATATTGTGATACTAATAAAAAAAATAAATAAATAAAAATGGTAGAAAGAAAAAATGAAATGAAACTAAATAATTATAGATTTTACATTTTTTAAATCCTAAAGCAAAGGTTAAACATCTAATGTGGCAGCGTAAGGCATTCATATAAGCAGACCCAGATTTAAGAGTTTATCTTGCTTTTATTTCAGATTTTCATTTTTAAATACCCTTATACCTCCAAGAGATGCACAATCATTTTGTTATTCCCTTGTTTCCCTTGATTGTAAGCAAAACACTTAATGCCTGATTAAACCAGCAATCTACAATATTCCCAAGTATCTTTACAAAGAAAACGTTCCCTTCATACTTTGTGGGCTTATGCATCACATCTCAAATAGATATACAAGTTCAATCTCAAAATGTCTGCATAATATTCTTGTCATTAAATCTGCAAGAATACCAAGCACATTCTTGTAAACTGACTGCATAAGAACTGTAAATAAGAATGTTATGATTGACATATAACATATAAATCACAAGCAGGACTGCAAAGTTGTGTTAGGTAGTGGACAATGATAATGATAAAGCATAATGATATAATTAGATTCTGAGATGTTAAGAAGATTGCTTTACTAAAAATAAAACAAAGCGCTGATTTGAAGAGAATTATTCACAGGTACATATTAGGAGATTAAATGATATAAAAATAAGACATTCAGGTAGAGCATATTGAATGCAATTCTCAAACTTCTTTCCCTTTACCCTATTTCTGAAAAGACACTTTAGAAGAATATGAGGCACAAGTTACAAAAAGTGCAACGGTTGCTGTTTTTTTTTTCCATTTTTTATAAGGCTATGCTAAACTCCATAGCGGAGCAAAAATATCTCTTGCAAATGTTTTATTTCCTTCCATTGTTTTTCTCTCTGCGAAGGCAAGAACCTCAAAGGTCACTTCATTTTTTACATAATAAAGATATATTCAAAGCACTTGTTGTTTTTAATAATGACGATATGAATGTAAACTTTAATATTTTGGTCCTGGGTATATTAGTTACCTTTCACATCTTTCCGTACTTAGAAAGACTGTGATTTATAAAAAGGAGGGTCCCGAACCTCCTGTTCTTGGATAAAATGTAGGATCCTTGCCATATAGTGCATGTGTTACAGCTGAGAGGGGGAATGATTTATTTGGGCAGGTCAGTACAGGTCACTGAGGCCTGCTATTTTCCGGGCCTTCTGCATCAGGGCTCTCAGTTGGAACTGTTTTCTGGAGAGTAGGCGCACATGCTGCACACAAACACACACAACAGAATACTCTGTTAATATATACTCAAATATTGCATTTTACAGCTTAGACCACGGTAACAAAAAATGCACAGGGTACAGTTGAGACTAACCTTAAGAAAGACATCCAAGTCAATGACATCTCTGCGCAACGCTTCACCCAAGTAGAAGATTGTGTCTTCTATGGCATTTTCTTCAGCATAGAGGTTCAGAATCTGCTTATACAGAGGAGCGGTGGGCAAAATCACATCATCAATATCATTGTTCTCAGACTGCTTCTCCATTTTTCCCAGAGCAGCAGTCAGCTCATCATCTTTCTGCTTAAGGAGATCAACGTTTTTGTCCACATCAGCCTGCAATTCAATGGAAAGCACATTATTATTTTGTATTTCATAAAATATTTAATTTATACAATACCTTGTTAAAAGAAGGATTTACTAGAAAGTATACATATAGTAGAGGTAAAAGCATAAGTCACTATTAGCTCAAGTATCAATAAGGTAAAAAGGTACAAATCAAAATTGACAAAACGTCTCTTGTACCATCTCCAGGTCTAGTTTGGTCACCATCTCCTCCAGCTTCTGGTGGCCTCTCTTTAGGTCCTCCTCTGTCCTTTTCAGTGCATCCAGCTCTGCCTGTGCTCGATCCATCTCTTCTTTCATCCGCCTGCGCAACTTGTCACTGACTGCAGACACCAAAGATGCACGGATTGTGTCCTCACCAATGGTGCCGTCACGGGTGGGTCCTGAAACACAGCAAAAAACTAAAATGTTTGCAAGTGTATCAAAGTACAGTTTTTTGGAATGGGTTTATGCATACTACCATTCAAAAGCTGGAAAATTTCTTAAATGTTTTTGAAAGAAGTCTCTAATGCTCACCAAGGCTGCATTTATTTGTTCAAGAATACAGAAACAACAGTAATATTGTGAATATTATTACCATTTAAAATAACAGTTTTCTTTTTTAATATTTATATGTAAATTCGTAAGTAATTATTCCTTTAATGGCAAAGCCATTGTGAATTTTCAGCATTACTCCAGTCTTCAGTGTCACATGATCCTTCAGGAATTATTCTAATTATAATATGCTGATTTGCTTCTAAAGAAATAGTTATTTTACAGTTGAAATCAGTTGTGCAGCTTAATATTTATCTGGAAATTGTGATACATATTTTTCTGGTTCATTGATGAATAGAAAGTTCAAAATAACAGCATTTATCTGAAATGTTGATCTTTTGTGTCATTATAAATGCCTTTACTGCTACTTTTGATCAATTTAAGTCAAGTCTGCTTTATTGTCAATTCTTCCACATGTACAGCACATACACACAGAGAATTGAAATTGCGTTACTCTCAGACCCTTGGTGCATACAGATAACACTAACAGTAGAACATAAATACAGATATACAGTCATCTCCAGCTCTGAAGGCAGCGTTCCGCATCTTCAGGAGTCCGTAGACCTCCCCTGTTAGCCACGGCTTCTGGTTGGCCCGGACAGTGATGGTCTTTGTGACTGTTACATCATCAATGCACTTGGTGATGTAGGCAGTGACAGTCTCCGAGTACTCCTGGAGGTCTGTGGTGCTATTGTAAGTGGCAGCCTGCTTAAACATATTCCATCCTTAATACATCCTTGCTAAATAAACGCATCAACTTAATGACCCCAATTTTTTTTAATAGTAGTGTACTTGATTTTGAGACTGATGCAAGTTTAGAAATGCATGATTTATTAGTGTCTTACTGGATTCTTGATTTCACTACTAATTTAACATGTAAGATGCTTGCTCACCCACTGTAGTGACAGAAGACACTGGGGTGTAGAGAGAGGAGCCTGAGGTAGTGGGGTATCCAGGGCCTACTGCAGGATAAGGGTAGCCCTGAAATCCACTGGCAGACAGAAAGAAAGAAAATATATATAGAAAAATTTAATTGGCATTTACACAGCAAGGTTTAATGCAATGACACATACCCAACAATTTGTCCCATCTCTTTATACGCACTTTAGACACAGCAGTCTGTTTACATTAATCACGTGTCACAAGCCTGTTAGTGATCTAGCGTAGTTAGAACTTTTTATCAGTAGTAAACAAGTTGCTAAACGTCACCAAAAATGACATTATTTTACACGTCCTATATCTTAGAAATATCTACAAAAAAGTATAAGAATGCAATTATTTTTTCAAAGAAGGAAATACAATTCTATTCATGATTCATTACAGGAACTCTAATGTATTCCTTACCCTTGCATGAGCACCTCCGAGTGACGATTTCAAACTAGATCTAGCCTGATTATATTCTGGTTAAGCCTTCATTCAAAACAAAAGGCTGAATGCATCAGTGCACATCTATTTAGAAAATGTATTGTGAATGAAAGACACGTTTGTTCTTTTCCTGCTATTCTCTTCTGGAAGTACTGGAGATGTTCACTCAAACCATGTATTATGCAGGAGTTTGCTTATTCAGCTTAATAATAAATTCCTTCACAATGTTTCATGTGTGCACAAAACTTTGCTTTGAGTGTATTGCAATTTTCACGAGTCTGTCAGTAACTTATGGTGCTTTTACCTGTGTGTATTTTGATTTACAGTATGCAGCTTGGTATAAAAAACAAATGTCCTTTGCAGAAAAATGCATGCTTGACATTTCTCAACTGCTTGTTATCTAAGAGCTACAGTATTACATGCACAGATATAAAAGAACAACAATGATGAGATATTGTGCCATAAGAGGAGAATTGGATACGAGTGTTTAGACATAGGTCAGATGAGATATCAGATAAGTGTTGGATTTAGAACCACATATGAAAGGACGCAAAATCCTATGTTTTTTGCTGTCTAAATGCATGTAACAAGATCTGATGTGTGGCAGATGTCTGAGAAATACACTGCCATTCAAAAGTGAAGCCTTAAGCTCACCAATGCTGCATTTATTTAACAAGAATACTGTAAAACAGTCATTTTTGATATTATTACAATTTAAAATAAATGTTTTTATATTTGAATATATTTTATGTTAATATATATGTTGTATATATTTTACATTATATTATGTTGGCAAAGCTGAATTTTCAGCAGTCATTACTTCAGTCTTAGTGTCACATGATGCTTCAGAAAACATTCTAATATGCTGATTTGCTGCTCAAGAAACATGTCTTAATATTATCAATGTTGAAAACAGCTATGCTGCTTAATCTTTTTTTTTAGAAACTGTGATACATTTTTTCAGAATTCTTTGATGAATAGAAAGTCCAAAACAGCATTAATTTGAACTAGAAACATCAAAAACACTATAAATAAAACATTATAAATGTCTTTGCTGTCACTTTTGATAAATTTAATGTATCCTTGCTGAATAAAAGTATTAATTTATTTTAGAGATATATGGTAGTGTACATATGTAGGAATTGGTTGATTGGCACACTGAAAGCACTTACCCTGGATTGGCAGAGTGACCCTGACCATAAGGCAACCCTGGTGTGCTTGGCATGTAAGAAGCTGGAAAAACATTAAATTATATGATTACTGCTAATTCCCAAAGTCAAAATGCTCTTACAAATGTTACATAAATCTTAAAATATGTTTTCTTTTAGATCAGACATAAGTCAAACATAAGTCTACACTCACTGTTAGGTGGGCCTGCTGCTGGGAATGCTGGGTAAGTTGCCTGAGTGGTGGGCCGTGAGAAAACAGGTGGTTCTTCTCCAAACACTACAATCATCACCTGGATCAGTCCTAACAATTCAGACTGGGGCTAAAATAGACAAAAACAAACAAAAAGTAGGTTTATGTCCTCCTAAATTAAAGTTGTGATAAAAAGGAAAAAAAGACACTCACAGGTTTCCATTCATGCAGGTATGGGAGGTAAATCTTTCCATTGGCATCAACGTGTTTCCCTGTTTTTATCATCATGGCACTTGTGGGTTTGACAAAACAGATGGGAGGGTTGTAGGGATATGTGTCTAGAAGCCACAGGCAGATGGGAATGTTGTACACATTTCCTATAGAAGAGGAATATATTAAATAGGGAAAAGGGTCCAACATAAAGAAATGACTCATCTGGATACAGCTGGATTGCTAAATAGGTCTGAGGAGTGGAGAAACTCAAACACTTCTTGAAAGCAGTGCTCTCTGTACCTCGGTAGTTTACTGGCACCGTTCCTGCGAGACTCAACAGCTCTTTGGTGGAGCCATCATTGAACACTGAAATAAAGAAAACAAAATGAGTGCAGGGCAACCACTGCTGAGCAAATGATGTAATGCAAACCTACTCATCTACATCTTGGATGGCCTGAGAGTGAATACATTTTAAGTCATTTTTTATCTTTGGGTGAACTATGCCGTTAAGTGAAGCATGCATGTTTAAAATAAAATAAATAAATAAAATAAAATAGCATTTAGTCGTTTAGCAGACGCTTTTATCCAAAGCGACTCACAAATGAGGAAAATAGAAGCTATAAAAACAGCAATAATATGTAAGTGCTGTGACAAATCTCAGTTAGTCTAACGCAGCACAGCCAGGTAGCAAGTTTTTGATATTCCAGAGTCTTGCTTGGCTTCACAATTTTCTGTTTCTCCAGCATATCTATAAACCAGCCATAAGAAGGTGTAATAGTCACAATACTTCAAAGCAATGCAATATAGACTGTGTTCCAAATTATTATGCAAGTGACATATCAATAGGATTTCGGTACAATAAAGTGTCAGATAAATAAATAACTGGTATCAATCTCAGACAGGTTTGTTCAATAGTTTGCCAGGTCTTCTTAGGTAAATGGAAACCCTACTTAAAAAGGTTGTTCCACATTATTAAGCAAGTCACAGTTCTCATGCAATATGGTGAGGAAGAAAGATCTTTCTGAAGATGAAAATTATGAAACAATGCAATGTCTTGCAAAAGGCATCAAAACAAATAATATTTTGCGAAAAGCAAATAGAGATTATTGAACTGTCAAAAGATCTGTGAGTGACTTAGAGCACAGAAGATCTTGGTCAGATAAAGATTTATTAAGGAAAATTTCTGTCAAACAAATGAACTGTATTGTAATGGCAGCAGTAAAAAAGCCACTGCTGAGCAGCAAACAGGTGTTTGAAGCTACTGGAGTCTCAAGATCCTCTCCATGCAGACTGGCAGTTGTGTGTAAAGCTGCGTTTCAGTCACTGCTAACCAAACCTCACAAAGAGAAACCTGCACAGTGGCTGTAGAAACACATTTTCAAACTGTTTAGCACCATGGTATTTATGAAGCATGGGATAGTGTGTTGTCCTGCATGAAAATCCTTTTATTTCCGAGAGCACTATTCTTCATTTTATACCACAGCAGAAAATGGTCAGTTATGAACTCCACATATCTTGCAGAAGTCATTTTGACACCCTAAAATGACCTTACATCTCACTTCCCAATATTTCAACCCAAATCATCACCCACCGCCTCCTTGCTGATGTTGCAGTCTCTTTGGAATAGGATGGCCATTCATCAACTATCAGAAATCCATTTATCTGGACCATCCATTGTACTGCAGCATTCGTAAGTGAATAAAACTATTTAAAAACAAGTCTTCATATGTTTCTACAGCCACTGTGCAAGTTTCTCTTTGTGAGGTTTTGAACAAACCTGTCTGAGATTGATACCAGTTACCTGAAATGATGTGTAAATCAAAACAAACAATTTTTATTGTACTGAAATCCTATTGATATGTCACTTGCATAATAATTTGGAACACAGTGTATATTTATATATATTTTTGTAAGGAAATATTAAATACTATTCCCTCTTTGAAGTTTTATAAATGTCTTTAATACATAATTTTATGGTAAAAATCATTGATCGTTTGCTTTGAAAGGTGGGGTTCTCTTTGACAGTACTTCTTCAGATTCTTTAAACATCAAGGTTCAATGAGACTTACAGTATTTCCTTTCTAAAGCATCTGACACATTACAGCTACAACTTTAGGAAATATGCTGTATTTAATAATTCATGACTAATAGCTCAAATAATTCATAGAAGTTTGCACTGAAATAAAAATATTTTGAACGTGGCATGCAAAAAAATACACTGACTAAACATGTTTCTTTTTTTTGTTTGTTTTTGCATTTAAAACAAGCTCATCTTTTCTTATGTGCATCTCTAACACATGACATATATTTGATGGGCACGGTCTAGATAAAGCTATATGAAAATATGCTAAATAAACATATTACATCTCTCTTCCCTACTGTACATTCAAACATCAGAATGGCTCAACGATGTAATTACACTGTGGCACCAAAGCTACACAAAAAAACTACAAAACATCAAACCAAGAGGTATCTTCAAAAAAATCCAACTTTTGACAGCCAAAAAGTGTCCAAATACTTTTGCTTTTATGTTTAGCAATATAGTTATATTTACAAATGTAAACAAAAGTGTATATTATTTTATATACAACAGAATTTATCTTAATTTGTTTTATCCTTATTGAAAATAAATGCCACTTTCTTTAAAATAAAACTAACGGAATGACATTCAAACATTTGTAAGTGTGGTTGGTTGAAGTTTGGAGGCACAGTAAAAGTTAAGTAAAGTCTTACCGTAGTTGTCCATCACAGGTTTAAGATCTTTATAGAGAGACGTCACGCTTGTTATGTCGCGTGCTGTCAGATCCCTGTATTTATAAATCTGTGTACAAAGAAAAAACATTACCCATATTACGACAAATACACTTTGTAAATAGCTTCTCTGGTATGCAAGTGTTTTACATACCTTCGACAGCGTTTTCCGTAGGGAACTTTCGTTAATTGCCGTCATGCTTAAAAAGACTATGAACTAATGTACTACTTAAAACGACTGTACAGCGTTTATTATTTAAATTATGTAGTTGTTGTTGTTATGGACATAAACTAAAGATCAAATCATCGCATCCATAACAAGGAAATCACGACCGAAAGGCATTGTCACTTCCGATCAGATGACTGATGACGCACACTGACGTGTACGTGCTTTACTACAGTACTGCTAAAATAATATTTGTAAACTTTATAAATTCACCTTTAGGATATAGTAACTACGTAATATGTGACTTTTTAATATGCAAATGTAAAAATGATGCTCAGGAAATCAGGAAAGCCTCTTTATTTAATATTCTTTCTTAAAACAATAATAACGGTAGGCACAAATCTTTAATAGCACATTGTTAAAAGGAAATTCATTCTGTTTTCACACACAATAGACACAAAATAAAAATAAGTTATTAAAAATACTCATATTTTTAAGTAGCCTATTAATTGCTGCAAAAACCAATATATTTAATAGCAGAACCGACACAGTCTTTTGGAATTTTCTTTTTATGGGAACGCTACCATAACGCTGTGTTCTACCTTTTTTTTTTTTCCATACAAAAGAAAACAAAAATTATTTAACGTTAGCAGCAGCAGTTGGCGTACGACAAGTTCAAAACAGAATACAGAGGATAGGTCACGTGTTTGTGGGTTATTTTACATAATGTTAATTCGAGTGTTACGGGAAATGGCCATTAACAACATTATTAAAGTAAAATAATATTCAGTGAGTGGCAGCAATCACGCCACCCGATAAACACAGACAGTAAATCCATCAAAAAGATCTGGATGCCCACAGCATTCTGACAGAAACCCTTGAAGGTCATATCCATAGCTACTGAGATGTGATTTAAAGGGAGAATCATATCCACCCATCTATGTCCTTGAGAACAATCAATAGACTGTCAGGGAATAAAATACAGCGCAATCCTTTAGAGAAAAATCATCAGATTTCAACCAGAAAGAGAAGACACTCACTGCTAGGAGTTCATCAGATTCACATAATGAACTATAAAGATCTTTGTTGAGATTTAAAATCTGTACTTTGCGAAGAGACATGAGCTACGTTTAAGCAATCAAGAAAGAGAAAGTCCAGACTGTTGCTCTTCCCGGCAATTACAAGGCCATATGTTGCCTATGAATAAATATAGTGCACATAAATTAAGGTTCCCTATGATAATTTACAGTAAGGGTATACAAACAATCTGGTTTATTTGTCTTTTTCATTTAAATTTGTCACATTTAAACCCACATCAATCTTCACTCCCTAATGACACAATCATGGAAAATTTACTTCAGAATGGCATAAAGGGGAAATGCAGTTGACAATATGATATACATGTAAAAGTTTCAAGCTTATGCCCTGAACATGGATACAGCACAGTGCTTGGCAAGAATATCAACAAGGCTTTTCAGACCAAGCTTTTAAGTTTATAGTAACTTTGTATTCATTTTCTAACAACTATGATTATTATTTGAAGAGATGTTCATTAATCTGTCGTCTTTAGCCAATGCAATTATCTGCGATGCATTTGTCTAATATCGTAAATAAAACGCATCACATCTGAATATCAAGCCACAATTCATAGACCCTGAGGGCCATTCAAAACCAGAAGCAAACAAAGAATAAAGTCCTCCACTTCTAAATTTTGTCCTAAACCTTGTGCAAATCAAAGACTTATCGGAGGTGTACCCAATAATCGCAATCTATTGCACCATAACCTGTGATAAACACACTGCATATGACTAAAAGTCCTCTTTGCAAGAGAACGCCATGAATTATGTACATTTTATTAGGTTAGACTTACTCTAAGCAAATGACAATACAAATCTTTCTCACATCCAGACATATGCTAATATAACTGATATAGTACATCTCCTCTCCATCTCGTAAAGTGTTTTTCTAACATCCACATCTGACAAAGCAATATGAGAGGTTATTTTCTGAGCTATTACTTACAGTTAAGAGTAGATAGTTTGTTTAATGTAAATATATTTAAGTGTGACAGCGTCATCCAGTCATAGTAATTCCAGTGTTGAGACCGTTAAAATGAGGTACAACTTATTTCATCTCCAGTGAAGGAGCGAGACGGGAATATCCCTAAGAAGACTGCAGGGCTGCCAGATTAAAGATTTCCCTTTTACTCAGTCTGCTCTAAACGTCCAGCATCTGTGTAGGTGTTGCAGTGTTTGTGGTCTAGAAGGCTGCACCACTCTAAAAGCCACGTCATGCATATTCACTGCAAAGAGAAGGGGAGAACTGAGTACACATGAGCAGCGGTAGCTTACACAATGGCTTAATTATCCAGGAATACTTGTATGTTTAATTTATTGAGAATCATATGAATATATACTAGAATACTTGTATGTTTAATTTATTGAGAATCATATGAATATATTCTAGGTTTCATGGTTTAGCAGTTTACAGAATAAAAATGTTTACCAGGATCATGACACCACACAGCGGCAGTTCATACAGCCTTGACCATTGTCATCTGGCGGGTTAAGTTTCCTCAGCTTATGCTGCCTGATTTCACGAACAAGAGTGTAAAAGGCATCTTCCACTCCCTAAAAAGACACACACACACACACACACACACACACACACACACACACACACACACACACTAATTAGGGCTTTTCTTCTTACATGGTGATAGTTTATCCTGAGCTACCCATGCAGCCACACTCTTATAAATAAAAGCTCCAAAATATATATATTTTTTGTAGTGATGCAATACAAGAACCATTTCTGGGTTTCCCAAAGAACCTCTCAGCAAACAGTTCTTAAAAGAACCATTTTGTCTTAGCATGAAGAACATTTTAATACTCTAAATAACCTTTTTCCACTATGAAGAACCTTTGTGCAATGGAAAGGTTTCATGGATGTTAAAAATGTTCTTCACGGAACCACAGATGCCAATAAAGAACCGTTATTTTTAAATTACAGCAGCTTGACACTTGACAGAATTTTATAATAAAATGTTATGCAACAGAATTTGTTTGGTCAAAATGTTTCTAACCTGTCTTGTCTTGGCTGAGGTTTCGATGTAGGGAATACCGTAGCTGCGGGCGAGTTCCTGGGCTTGTCTTGTGTCCACAGTGCGTGCTGGTAAGTCACATTTATTACCCACAAGCACCATGGGCACATCATCTGAGTCTTTAACCCTCTTAATCTGTTCCCTTTAAAAAAAGGAATGAAAACAAATACACATTTAGAATAATATATATTAAAAAAAATTAAAATAAGCAATACATTTCTTTCATTTAACCTGTACTGATGAATGTCCTCAAAAGACTTAGTATTGTTGATGGCAAAGACACAGAGAAAACCCTCTCCAGTCCTCATGTATTGGTCTCTCATTGCACTGTACTCTTCCTGACCTGCAGTATCCAGGATATCCAACAGACACGTCTCTCCATCAATCACCACCTGTTTCCTATATGAGTCCTGCGAGGAAGAGCAATGCATCAATATCCAATGTAAGATGTTCAATGTTTCTAAATTCTCCTACTGCTCAATTAATATCGAAATATACAGTGAAATATATTCTGTTACTGAAAAGAAAGTGAAAACTGTGGCCTGTTTGACCAAAGTGGCGCGAATGCTTTACCCTCAGATGACATTTTGATGTTTCATATATATATTATATTTTAAATTAGGTAACATTATTCTGAACTGAGGATATATAAATAAATAAATAAAAAACAAAGGCAAATGACTGAAAATACCAGCTTGATTTTACCTCAATGGTTGGGTCGTATTCATCAACAAAGTGGTTCTGAATGAGCTGGATGGTCAGAGCGCTCTTGCCCACGCCACCTGCACCAACCACCACTAACTTATATTCCGTCATTCTCACTGCTGCTGTGTCAGAAGCTGAGGGGAAACAAGGAACAAGGAAATTTGAGAAAACAAAGAATTTGGGAAATTCTAGATGAATCATAACTTGAAATGAAATCATTACTGTTTATGAGCTGACGAGGAAATAAAACTCAAAGTGAAAACGGTAAAAGGGGGAAGCCAGTCAAAATCTATATAAAGTATACCAGTTTCCTGGAGTGAGGCGCTCATCCTGCCGACAGTATCTAATACAGATGATATTACGCTTGTGTCGTGTGACATAACACTAGACAAAAAGAAAAGCTATTTTAGGTTGCCAGGGGAAACTTTTACAGGACTTTTCCTGACAGTGATCTATTTGTTATTAGTTAAAATGCTTAGTGCAGTGCCAGAAGAATTTTACTCACAACCTGTGTGATTTCATTTTCTGTCTGCTTGAATTTATTTTCTTTTTTTATATACATAGGCTATATATCTCCTTGCATATGGAGCAAATAACATACCTATATTATTTAATTAACAAAAATACATTTTAATGATTAAACAACTCTGTTTTTTGCTAAGAAGATCAAAATAAATTGTGGGTCATCTGAATCGTTGTGTGTTATTAAAAATCAGTCAAGCTGGTTCAGCTGTGCTCAGTGGACACTCCATCAAATATTCCATTTGAAAATCTATTTTTAGCTCTTCCACCTGTCATGTAGCCTTACCTGTGAAAATCATTTTCTTTTTTCTTGCTGGAAGTTTGTACAACTTTTATATTACTTTTAGGTTCTGGATCATGGTAAAGCATCTGGTCAGACTTTGAATTCCATTTTTTTTGCGCATGATATTAGTGATCATACTGTACCAGGGGTGTCACCCTTTAAAGACTTTCACAACACACACAACAATGCACACACACCCATACTTATATATACATACATATATACATTCACACACACACACACACACACACACACACACACACACACACACACACATACATACATACGGATATATACATATGTATGGCTGTATGTGTGTGTGTGTGTAATATACAGAAAAAATATATATTTATTTTTGCCATTATTGCTAGAATACAATGACATCACCTTTATTGATTTCTCAGACGATGGGCAATGTAAACAACGTGGTCATTTGGGTGAGCTGATCTCTGCAAGCCTTACAATACATATAATGGCAACCAATCTATGTGATAAGTTTCAATAACGTACCTAAATAAAACCCATCTGAGTACAAAAACCAGTCTTAGCCAAACGTCTCTGGCTCTGTTGGTTTAAATGAACTCGCTCCTCCTGCATCGACCATTATTTCCATGCAGAACAGCGCTGTATGTATATGAGTATTTGATAGTTGCACAGCTCGCTACAATGTAACAAACTAGAGATGAATGGAATTCAGACGCGCTCACTGATTTGACGAATTTGTTTCGTTTTTCATGTTCACTAGGAGTAGTTCTCCAGTTTCGAGATGCTGATGAAATGATTCATGTCCTGACGGCGCTTAGAGCCACAGCACACGCCCAAACCCTGGGTGTCTCAATAGGCTATACACACAACACCATACACACACACTCTCTCAGCCTTACTTACAGGTGGGCTGTCTTATGTCTTTCTTTCTTTCTTTCTTTCTTTCTTTCTTTCTTTCTTTCTTTCTTTCTTTCTTTCTTTCTTTCTTTCTTTCTTTCTTTCTTTCTTTCTTTCTTTCTTTCTTTCTTTCTTTCTTTCTTTCTTTCTTTCTTTCTTTCTTTCTTTCTTTCTTTCTTTCTTTCTTTCTTTCTTTCTTTCTTCTTTCTTTTCTTTCTTTCTTTCTTTCTTTCTTTCTTTCTTTCTTTCTTTCTTTCTTTTTTGTTACAGAACAATGCCCAAGTTGTTTTTCAGTCTGTCTCTTTTTTTTTGTTTAAAAACACTGGCAATTAGAAGGAAATTTCAGACTATTAAATACATTCAATGAGTCAACTTTGAAAAAAATTTAAATAAATGAATAAATACTGGCTTATATTAAAAAAAAAACAAGACTGAAACACTGAAAAAAAAAACACTGAAATTAGAGGGAATTTTATGATAAAAACATGAAAACACTCAATAACTGAGCTTTAAAAAACATTAATTGTATTTTTTCGATTCAGTTCTTTCTTTCTTAAAAAAATAAAAAAATTACTGACAATTACAATGAATTTTCAGATGATAAAGCTCTTTTTTCCAAATATTTTATTATTATTATTACTACTACTAATACTACTACTACTACTACTACAGAAAAATGTCCATATTTCCAAGTTTGGTTTTCTTTTTTCTGTATTTTTTTAAGTTTCTTATGTAGATTAATTTCACACACACACACACACACACACACACACACACACACACACACACACACACACAC